TGAAGACATCAGAGTTAACCCGAGAGCCGAATACCCAACTACGGCAATTTTGTCTAAAAGGTAGGCATGATTAACAAAAGATAAAGCACAGATGCATCAATCTTCCCCAACAGGTGCGGCCAAACGAAGAATTTTAATTTAGGTGCCTGCTATTCCAAACCAACCAGCAAACTGTCAGTCGGTCGTCGAACTTTTTCGGATAAAAAGTGCAAAAGACCATCGCAAACCTCTATATGTGGGAAGAGTGTTATATCTATCCCATGTGCTGCAGTGGTAAATGGGGACATCGAAGAAAAAGTGAAGATAAGGACCCAGATCATTAACAACCCTCTTGTTCAGCTCCTTTTAGTTGGTGGCAGTCGATTTCGGGGACTCAGTGACTAACCGAATAAACATGTACTAGCCAGGGCCTCTGTGTCCCACTAATTGGTTTGTTAGGGTCCTTTTGGTTATTTGCGCATCGTCGAAAGCAAAATCGTGGTCCTTTCCAAGGTTGCACGTTTGTCAGCTGGCGTATGCGCATCTTTCTTCTCTAATGCTGGCATACGTTCATTTTCTGATTCACGCAGCAATGATGACTTGAGCATTGGCGGCAATTAACGCTGTAGGTGCATCCCGAGCTGTCTCGCGGCGACGGTCTAGCCCTGGGTGGCCCGAGGAGGCCGCGAATGGCTGCTTTAGGTCGATGTGTGAATTCGATGAAAATTAATTTTAACGCAGACTCTGTAACTTATGCGGCTCTTCCCATACAGAATGCTGGCAATTTAGTTTACACTCGCAGAGCTGACTGAACAATTAGCCACCAACGGTGCAGGCATTGTCTTATGAATGCAATGATATGCTTGACATCAAATACTATTCCAAAACATCTGTCATTTAGCTCCCCATAGTAGTCCTGCATTGCGTCTGCAGATTTTTTCGGTCAAAATAATCGGGGGGGGGGCGGATCCCATAGGTCCTCATTTCGCAGCCAATGTTTCATTATACCAATATATAGGTGCTCATTTTCCACACATTCAATTTTTTTCGAACCTCTTTTCCGAGACTGCAATCTCAAGTCTTGGTCTCTGGCCCAATGTCTTTTCTCTGGTCGGCCGGGTCATGCGCACCAGCCCAGCACATACATCCTTTCATGCGGAAAATAACCGCGCAAATTACTACTTTTACACCTCTTCATAATCCTTATCATAATTAAAGTGTAAAAGCTCTATGTATGGTGTTACTTTTGGAGTTCGATCAGACTCGATGCCCTCCCATACCAAAGGGTGGCCTTGCTTTAAATTCCAGTGGAGAACCTATATCTGTGTCCTGACCCCAACCCCCATAATCTTCATATTATAACCCTACTTAAGTAATCTTTTCGAATCAAAGACGCATTTCAGCAGTTAGGTCAACATTTCATCAGTTAGCAAATCTACTGCAAGTTTCCATACGGGATGTTAGGAAGGTCGTCGTTTAGGTTCAACACGGCCTGTGGCACTCTGCGGTAATGCTGCCGTGTGCGGAAGGAGATACAGTCGGTATGTGGGGACTAAGTGTGGATGTCATAAGCACTTCTAACTAGTATTTCCTTGCCAAGTTTCTAACAGTTGCCATTTATTGTCTGGGCGACAGGTCCGTTCGGCAGCTCGAGTTTAAGTTTGGTGTATATTAGAGCTTTCCTAGAGTGACAGATGAAGTCTAGACTCAGAGGTCTAAACTAAAAGTATGGGTCCCTAATGTCCTGGAAGCTCTTGTTTAATAAGCAAAAGAAAAGTTTCAGGATACGATTCTGCGAAGCCGTAGGAGCTCATTGGAACAAGCTTATGTTCTGTCCGACATTTCGGGATACTTGATTTACTGTTCATTTTCGAAGACTTAAATAGAGAATCGACCTTGTGGTCTCGTTAGGCTGAGGGTAGTCGCCCTGCTGAATGATCGATTTTATGAGCGGTAACAAGTACTCCAGGAGGGATTGTTAGTTTCACGTATTATCTGGGCGGAAATTCTCGTGGCATCGAAATCACGAGTATGCCCCTTCCTTTCATTACGCATAAGAGCCTGAGACTTCGTGTGTGCACTCCTTGCCCCAATCAGGGTTGGAATAGCCGAGTCGGTAGTTTCCGCCCAATTTTTCGACGTAGCCTCAGCCATACTTCCCGATGTCGAGTCTTTAGACCAGGCCGAGTTCCTCCACAGAAACCACGTAGATAGTCCTCAAACTGCAGCACATATCAGCAGAATGTGGATCATGGTCCGCGGTCTACTGCATTCTGGGCAGTAGCAAGAAGATTGCACAACACTGGAGGGGTAAACCACGGTTACCCTAAAACAATCTAAGGAATTCGTACATTATAGTCCTTGAAAATAGATGGTAAACTAGAAAACCTGAAATTTCGTGTGGAAACTTGTTTCAGCCAGCCCCTGTAACTTCTTGGAAGCTCACCTCTGTATTGCATAGGTCTTCCTGTAGACGTACATTTTGTGAACTAACTCGTAAAAAGGTGGTGCCGGGAATCCCGATGATCATTTTTGTGCACCTAAATCTTTGGTAGAGGCGTGCTCACCAATCGAGTTGTGGAACTCACTCATCCCGTCGTGCCTTGGGGATTTCTCGAGCCCCGCCAGTAGCCGCACAGCGGCGCATAATATAGACAGAATAACATTAGCGACAAAGATAAGAGGGATTTAACTGACCAGTTCTGGCTTATTAGCCATCGTCAGCCAGCCATGCCCAATTCCGATATGTGCAAAACCTGGGGCTCGATCCGGCAACCTGTTAGTTAGAAGACAAACGTTTGAGCGCCAGGTATTGCACATCCCAGGGCTGGACGTGGCTGGCTGACGATAACTAATGAGCCGCAAATGGTCACATCAATCTCCCTTGTCTTTGTCGCTAATGTTATTCTGCCCATATTACGCGGCTTTGTGAGGCTGCTGGTGGGGCTCGAGAGAGCGCCCCAAGGCACGACTGAGCGAGTGCGTCCCGCAACGCGATCGGTGGGCGACCATTGTATATTCCCGACCGCAACCGACAAGACAATGACCTCGTGGCTCAGTGGTTAGAGGCGTTGGACTTCTAACCAACAGGTCATGGGATCGAGCTCCAGGGGTTACACACCTCACGGTTGGATATGACCGGCTGACAACGGCCAATAAGTTAGAAATGGCCATCCCAATCTCTCTTGTCCTTGTCGGTACGGCCATTCAACCCAAAACTTTGTTTATTTTGCGTATTTGCCAAACCCGTTACAGAAAATTCCCTGTTTGTAAGCAGAATATGCACATAGGTAACTGTATCAGACAAATCTTTTACACATTTGAGCAGAAATCTACGTCAGCATATACTCGGACAATTGCCTACCTTAGTAGCCGCCCTAAACAAAGTTGCGCATGCTCTTGTGCTTTTCTACGACGCGAGAGTAATCTAAACGTGAGAGTATTACCAAAAAACCTGTAGCACCTGAAAATTGACATCTTATTCGGCGTTACTCAGGTGAAACAAGATGTGAACAAGCAGGTTATTTGTTGAAAACCAGACGCTTTATTGGTTTTAAAAAGACGGAACTAGAGTCTTTATTTGGGGGCAGTTGATTGAGGACGCTGAAAATCGTAGAATGCTCGCTGACATTTCAAGGATGCCGAAACTCAACGGTCTTCACTGTCACTAACAAATACAGGGCAATTTTATGGAGGAAACGTTCTCCTGATGGTAGGTCTATGATTGCATCTAATCATTCTATTCAAATGCCTTAGTCACTGATCGGCCTGTCAGCATGTGACCTTATGAGGAATTTTGTTCCCGTGACGGCCCAGCCAGTGAAATCAAGCGAGACCCTCTTTGCTTTAACTAACCGTATTTCAAGTAATGCACCAACAAGAAAATCACAGTCAGATCTCGTGAAACCGTTTTGGTATCTATACTCAAATGCAGGCCGTTGGCCAACCCCCATACCTGGCATTACATTAATTATTTAAGGAGACGTTTAGGTGCAAATTGTACTAAAAGACTGCTTTCGAACGCTTCACTTGTGTTGTTTTATTTGCCCATTTGTTTGCATTTAGAGACTGTATGCAGTTCTAAAACTCAAGTTGGCTCAGTTGAAACGATTTTTGGCGTTTTCGGCATTTCCGCCTATCTAAAAATGTGCCATTTCTAAACAATGTCACATCCCTTTTAATATGCCCCCTGTGTTTGCACTTAGCCCACATTCTTTCATTACTAATTGGGAGTCTTGGCCGGTTTCCGAGTGATTAGAGATGTTTCATACATTTCCGTGCATTTTTTCGTCATGTCGAGTACTGCATACTATAAAATGGATTACAAACTTCGGTTATTTTTGAACACTTCGATAAATTCTCCCTTGCTCTCTCTGTCTTAATTTTCTGCGTACCAAGTATAAGCATACTTTTTCTAATTTTCTTCCCGCCCTGCCTTATCGTAAATTTGAGAACTTAAGTTAAACGCTTCTGAACGCAAATAGATCCGTTTGGACTAATTTCAGCAGATAAAAACAGACCCGAGTCAAGAAATTAATCGGTCCTGTGGATCACATTCAACTGCAATGTGACTTGCCTAGAACGGTTGGAATGCTTCTCATCCACAACCTCTAACATCCGTGCTAAATTGCTGCGGATAGTTCGTCTAAAGAACTATATGCCACCCGGGAATCGCATTTTCGCTACTATTGACATTAATATAAGTTAACCCAATAATTGGCATACCTTCCGGAAAGGGCTGCTTATCGATCCCCTGGGCACGAAGAAAATGTCGAAAATACTTGGTCAAAAAGCGACTTGTAAGATAATGGTTTATTTGAGATGAGTCGAAGAAAATAGGCAGGTTGATAGAATGATCACTGTGTGGAATGTACATAAACTGGATGCAGCCTTTAAGTCGAATATATTGCACATGAACCTCACTGGCTATGCCCACTTGGAGAACCAGATCAGTCGTGTTCCTCCTCTTCTCCAGCCTTGTTTACGCGACGCAAGCAGACCTGCGAGTCAACAGCCCTTGTCTACGTGGTTGCTGTGAAGCCCAGCTGGTATCTGGCTGTATCGCATAAACTTCCGTCGTCGATGCAGATGGTCTGCTGTTATGCAAGTAAAAGAAACAGAGTACATTTAAAACACGCCTTTAAAAACCAATTCATTTATAACTGGATACAAGCTGATTGTGTTTTCTGGCTTGGACTGCTCTGTAGCAAATGAGAAAACGACCGGTTTCGGTCAAAAATTACGTAAACTTTCTAAAAATGAGGTTTGAGGTCTGTATTCGTATTCTAAAGTGTCGAATTTGCTTGGTGCCATATTCAATCTCTAATATGATTTACTACCATCTTACTTGCGCATGAGGAGCCTAATCTCCAAAAATATCATCCATTGGAATGACTCGTAATCTTGAAACAGCGAAACACCTATCTTTAACCCCGAAATTATGATTGTACTTACCCGGTTCTCAAAATGGCTCCAGGGAAGCAGGCTGTCACTGTAGATATTGTGGTTTGACAGCTCGGGAAAGTAACTGAAAGTTAGATGAGATGGAATCGACTGTAAGAAGCAGATAACAGAATCATAGCTGGCTGATGAACGCAATTCGTCACGCATAGCAGGCCCTATTTTCTTTTTTAAATAAACTTTTTTCATGGTGAGGATATCTTACGTGCCCCCGGAAGGCCACGAAAATGGGAACACCCCCCGGAATACAGGGGATCTTGCACTAAATTCTAGGCAACTACCTGTTTCCGTGTCCTAACCCTAACATTGATCCAAACCCAAAGCGAAACCCTGATCGTGACCCTAACCTTCAACTTAGCCCTGATCCTAGCCATAACTTCAACCCTAGTAATAATTTCGCTGGAATTTAGCGCAGGGCCGCCTGTATTGCGGGACGTTCCTGTTCCCGTGTTCTGCCGGGAGCGAACATGAAAGCAATCCGTGCTCTTTTCAATACAGATTTCCTGTCCCAGTAGTGGACAAAGGAAAACATGCTCGGAGCCGCATAATATGTCTGCTCAGCATAAAAATGGAACAAAAAATGTCAGACTTGCATCTCCAGATGTCATGCACATCAGACATGCTTTCAAGTCCCAGGCATGTTAGATTCCTTCCGCATAACAGTGAAGTGCGTAATCCACGTGATTTCGGGTAATCGCGATCGCAGCTGACGCGGTGTGGTCTCAGTGACTCGGCTGACAGGGCATTCAACTTAGAGTGTTCAAGTAAAAGTTTGTCTGAGTTGAAATCGGAGGCCTCCGGAAGTCCGGGGTTTGGGTGTGGCCGACTGGATTCGACCTGTCAGCTAGAAATGACCATTCCGGTCTCCCTAATCTTCGTCGTTCTTGCCTAACCAAACTGAAATTTGTCAGTTGGGATGCTGCGGAATGTGACCATGGATAAGCTTCTGCCAGGTAAAAATTTTTGTTCTATTACATATGCTCATGGTACGAGTTCTATCGGCCCACGCATCCTGATCGTATATCCTTCTCAAGCATTCATACTAGTTTGTAAATTACCGTGTTATACCTCTAAGTAAATGCATCTGGCCTCACTTGAGTAAATTCTTAACTAAGTATTATACTCTGTTCAACAACAACTGGCTAAATAGGGGTTTTCTCGATCCTATGAACACGATGCAATACAGGAAGTATTCTCGAATGCTATCCTAATACTGAACAAAAACTCCATGCAGCCATTTCTTCATGGTCAAGGAAGCACACATGTTGTTGTTTATAGTTTCCTTTTTTCAGTTCCTCTCCAGGAACATACTGAAAATGTCCAGAACGTTCTAATGCATCCGCAGTCAAATTATCTTTCGCAGTTTAATCCCAGTGACGATCATGGTGGAATAGTTTGTATGATTAATTTAGAGTAAGGGAAAGGAAGTACAGCTTACCAGGACGCATCTCTTGGAGTGCTATCGGACGTTGAGGCAGGAAAGTGAGAATAAAGCCCCTGTTCGTTCTCTCCGTGTCCCGAGTTTGAGGCAAACGAGCCAAGATTTGAAAACCAGGGCTGCGATGATCTTCCATTTACCTTAAATAATCGCAGAGCCTCGCTCTCCGCATCAATCGCTTGATCAGCGACAGCCGCCGTGACTGAAGCAGAGAGAGTGGCCGAAGCCGAAGGGGAGGCACTGGAGAGACGCAAGGACTGGAATTGACCGCCGCCGGCAATACCTAGCTTGGACACCAACTCTCTTTCAGCTTCCAGCTTTCGGTACTCTAGACCCTCTGGTTTCTGTCCATGGTGGGTGATCATGCTCTGATAGTCACTGAAGGCTCCCACACTGAGTTCAGCCTTAGAAGAGAGAGGAGCAAGGCTGGCCTGTTGTAAGGGATATCCTTGGCCCAACAGCGTCTCCTTCACCGGCTCCATTGCAGAACCGGAGTAGGTGGCGGTGGTGTTCGGACTGTGGATAACGCGCGCCGCCCCTTCGTAGAGACGCTCGACCTGAAGGGTCTCCGAGTCGGGGGATCGGCCTACGGAACCATTACAACCGTATTCCTGCTGGTTCTGTCCACTGGCTGCGGCGACTACGGCTGCGGCCGCCACCGCCGCAGAATATGCCTCATAGGCTGAACTGTAGTCGCCATTCATGCCGTGAACTAGGGGATTATACTGAGGATGCATGGCGGAGTAGCCGAGAGCTTGCTGATCCCCCGTCATCACCGACATTACTCCGGCGGCACTAAGATCAAAGTCGACTTCTCGTTTCCGCCGCGCACCTCCGTGTGTCTCCAAATCCCAGACTCGAGATGACGCTTGGCCAGCTTCGTATCCTCGAACCAACTGACTTGGATACCCACATGAGGAGGCATAATTTTGGTGGAAGAGAGAGTACTCTGAGAGGCGTGAATCTGCTGTCTGTACAGTGGGTGGATTTCGGGTGGAATTTCTCGTCACTCCGAAAAATCCTAGAGCGGGATTACGCGTAAG